CAGAACTTTCAGCTTACAAGACCGGGGTATTTAACTAGATTGTGACTTGCAGTAGACACTAAGATAGTTGTTTTGTTCTTATTTAGGATGAGTTATGATTCTGCCCCTAAGGATCTATTTGAAACGATTAGCGCAGAGTTAGAGTCACTATGCAGAAACATCACAATCCATTGATTGTGTCAACACAAATCCACCTGCGCAGTCTCAGACAGGATGAAACAAGAGTTGCGAATTCCACTGGCAATAGCCATTTGTGAGATCATATTGTGGTGAGAGCTGGTATAACTGTGGATCCATCCATAGTTATACCATATAAAGAGGGGATATCTGAGACACTACGTAGGATTCTGAATAAAGTAGGAATTAGGGTGGCATTTAAACCTACAAACTCACTCCGGTTGGACAGGCTCTGTAGGTTAAAGGACCCTGTTGACCCAATTAGACAAAATAATATTATTTACAAAATACCATGCAATGACTGTGAGGTCAACTACATAGGTCAAACTAGTAGGTCAGGGGTAGTCAGATTGTCAGAGCATAAAAATTTAGCTAAGGTAAGAATGGTTGACCCCACCTGAGAAGATAAGTAATTTAGAAAAAAGCTCAGCGATTGCAATGCATGCGCTAACACACAACCACACAATAGCATGGTGGGTGGGAGAGGGTTAAAATTCTAAAATGTAATCTAGGTAGGTGGAGAGTGAGAGTGGTTGATTACTGAATCCTGCCTGGATCATCGAGTCTACACCCAACACATGCAATAGGAATGACTCGTCACTCATACCTGAAATATGGAAAATACTATTACCAATCAAATCAAGTGAAAATCAAGAGAAAAACAATGGAACTATATAAATGAATTTAGGAAGTCGTGTGATTACCTTGATAATGATTATGAGCATTAAATTGTGCTCGAAACGTGGTCATCAGTAAACATTACTGTATAACACTGTGAAACTTTATCAGAACAAAATTTACCCGTAATGGAATTACACTCTACCACAGTGCACAAGTTTTATTCTTATATCAATAACTCCATTTCTTCCTGCCTATTTGTTTCACAATCGGTTTCTGGTTGATCTGCTCCCAGAGATTTCTCACTATTTCTGATGTTTTCTGGCCCACCATCTGACCTTGAGTAAAGTATTGAGCGAAGACAGCTGTTGGTGAAGGTCTGTAGTTTGTTTGAGATCCTCTTTATGACGCACTAGCCAAGTCTCTGATCCGTATAGTGAGTAGCACTGACTGACTTCCCATTGGAGTTGAAAATCCGGAACTTATTTCCATTTTCATGATGAGTAGTGCTGTTGACCTCCACACAGACTTGAGAGTAATGAAAGCTTGTCTTGCTTTCCAAATCCTCACTGCTTTGATATCCTCGTCAGTTCCATCCGCCTGTAGTTGGAACGATGCTTCCCATATTGGTAGGTAAAGGAGGTTGCTTCTCTCCGGTTCCTCCCATTTAGGCTGAATGATTGTTGTCTGTTGTTGTTGTTGTTGTTGCTGTGGCTGTTGGTGTTGGCCAGGAATCTTCATCACCTACATCTGTTTTCTCTATGTTCACTTGAAGGCCTATGTTTTCTGGATTCTTCTTCTCCCCTCAACTTGTTGCTTTTCATCACTTGTATATCTTCCAATTTGTGGGAAATCAGACATATATCATCGGCGAAGTCCAGATCCTCCAAGTCGTTTTTTGTGTGTGTCCATTTTATGCCTGTTTCCTCATCGCCCACTGTTGTCTGTCTGTCTGTCTTTCACATTATACAGTCTACTGCAATCAGGAAATTAATCATTGGAGATAGTAGGCAGCCAGCCAGCAAACCTTGTCTTACCCCCGTCTTCACTTCTTAAAAGGATTCCGTGAGTTTCCCTTTTGTGGAATACTTGGCATGCATGACTGTCGTACATCTGTTTAGATGAGATGTATAATTGTCGGTGTCATCCCGTAGTAGCGAAGTAGTTTCCAAATCACCTCTCGATCGACGCTGCGCTATCGTAGGCCTTTTCAAATTCGATGAAGTTGAGTGAGATAGACAGGTGACTGCCAAGTCACTGTAAAAAGTATATTTAGACATCATTTTGTAATTTAAAGTTGAGTTTATTTAGGATGTAAGCAGTTGAAGAGAATCCAGGGAATAAAATGAACTCTTATTATTCTTCAAATATGTTCCCTCTTTCTTTTTTGAAACCAGTAATAAAGAGAACCAACCAGTTGTATGAAATACAGAGGATGTTCAGTGTTCGACAAGATTACTCTAACCAATTATTTGGAAGGATTAAAATATCTATCAAGAACAGTGTCAGTTAGTTGAATCAGTGGAATACTGCCTAACCTTGATTATAGCCTTCAAAGTTCTATGTAATATTGATATAGTCATCTTTTTGAGAAGCTCAAGAGAAAATAACTAGGGAGGAACACTAAAAGTGAATGATCTACAATAACGTGAGTGTTAATCACTGATTCGTTTGAGTAGCATGCTTCTAGGAATTCTTTGACATCTGTGGTGCCTTCATTGATTAAAATTTTCTAATGGTATCCATCCACAGAGGTGCTGTTTCACATATGCCAGTTTAGGCTGTCTCTGGCTAAGCAGACGTGATATCTGGCTGGCTGTCGAACAAAGGGTGGGTGTACTGCTCGGCAGTCCTCCGAGCAGTCCCCCTTTATGGCTGTGAGGGAGACGTGGCACACTGAGAGTGGAAGACATAAAAAGGCTAGCTGTCTTTGATCGTAAGTGCCTGCGTTCTATCGCTCGAGTGAAGTGTTATAATACGATGAGCAACTTTGAGGTTAGGCCTCAATGTACTTTATCTTATATTGATTCCTATTCAAATGTCTAATCATCAATTCCAATCATGTATATAAATGAAAGAAAAAAGTTGTGTGAATGAGTGACGTGATATGATTATGAGTGGCAATAATTTGTGCTCAAAACGCCATCAATAAATATTACTGTGTGATTTATCAAAATAAAATCTTATCCATAATAAAGTTATACTCTACCACCACAGTGCCCAATTTTTATACTTACATCATTGGTTAGAACTTGTGTTGCGCATGCATCCCTAGTCATCGCCTTCCTCGACAACAAACAATGTTAGCTGGCTGACATAGGGTCAGGCTGGAAGAGAGCTAGCACATGGTGGTCAAACCAAAACATGCCCTCACCAGTCAATGAAATCCACAACAGTTCGTTTAAGCCAGCCAGCGAAGTAGGAAGGTGTAGACTTCCTGACTGGCTGGTTGAGGTCCTCCAGATGGTAAAACTAATGGCTGGAGACAATCGGTGTATATAGTTCAAAATCGTTGTCAATGGCTGGCTGGTGGAGATGCATCCACTCCTTGTGACTTATCATTTCCAATGAAACTATATTGTTCTTCCTTATTACTTTTCTTTTTGTCTCGTATCCCTGTCTATTGTCTGTATCATGGATTTCTTCTACTTTCTTCTGTTGGTTTGTGTGTTACATGGGGTGAAGTGTGGCGACTTGAACTACTGCACATCGGTGCAAATTTCTATGTCGAAAAAAGGTAGACAGACAGACTGGTATCCATGATAATCTACATGCGGTGATAGGAAGGAATACATGTCGTGTTTTTGTTCTGACAACTAGTATATTATCTTTGATTCACAGTCCAAAGCAGCTGCCACTTTGACCAGTACAGTGTTTTCGTAACTGATGCGTCAATTAAGCTGGGAAAATTGGCAAATTTTAAACCACAGAGATGCTAAGAAGGATCACAGAGTTCCTGGGAGCTTGGTACTCGAATCAAGCTTCACTCTACAGGCATGTTGACAATAAGGTCAGAATTTTCTATAGTTTGGTTTGTAAGGGTTAGATATTTTCTTTAACGAGTTGATCACGGATTGATATCAGTTAGAGAACCATTGAAAACCAGCCAGCATGGAGTACTGGACAGCCGCTGTTTCATTCTAGTTCGGGAATCATGGGCATTAAGCACCCACTGACTGCGGTTCGAACACAGGACCTTCCAGTTACAAGCCAGCAAGCAAGCTCGTATACCATTCAGCCACTGTGACCCGATTCAATGGCAAACCCATGAATTCTAACTTCTACCAATTCGTGATCAGTTTAGCACGACCCCAACCATTGTAGTTGGTGGAACATCCATCCACACACGTGACATCTAATTGGACCTCACTGGCCACGACTTCTCACTAGAACTGACTCCAGGAAACTCCATCCTGTAGCAATTCACTAGCGAGCATCAGACTGATTTTCTATAGTTTGGTTTGTAAGGGTTAGATATGCCTTTTACGAGAAGTTAAAATTTCATGGGTTGGCCACTGAATCGGGTCACAGTGGCTGAATGGTATACGAGCTTGCTTGCTGGCTTGTAACCAGAAGGTCCTGGGTTCGAACCCCTTGTAGAGTGGGTGCGTACTGCCCATGATTCCCGAACTAGAATGAAACAGCGGCTGTCCAGTACTCTATGCTGGCTGGTTTTCAATGCTTCTCTAAATGATATCAATCCGTGATCAACTAGTAAAAATGGTCAGAATTACCAATCAATAAAGAACAAATCGCATAACACAAAGGTCAAAAACTAGATCAATACAAAAGAGATAAATAGAAGTGCGAATGAACATTTTTTTAAATTTTTATATTTTTATTTTGATTTACAGCTTGATTCCACACTGTATTTTTGGTACAAGTATGGAATTTTCAGCATGGATATCGGTAGCCCAAATTTTGCAGGCCGACCATAGATATCAGGTGTGCGCCGGCGTGGGCTCGAACCCCGAACCATGTGCATGGTCGGCGAGAGTCCTAACCACTGTGCCACCGACGCAACATAGGGATATAGGGAACTCCTGATGGATATTCCGTCTATGGAGAATTCAAGCAGACTCATTTCACATTTGAATAAGAGACAGACAACCAAAAAACTACTACTACAACTAACATCAAATACAGATCAATAAACGTGTAGAATACATGATATAAGTAAGTATATAAGTATAAATAACAATCACCTTTCTAGGAGGCAGTGGTAGACCTCTTCGTCTTGCTTCTTCTTCTTCATGCTGCCTTAAATCCTCCTCCCATTGACGTATACGTTTTCTGCGTTCTTCACGTTTTCGTTTAATTGTATCATAGAAACAACGACAACAGACTAAATTTAAGAAGACGACACGAAACATTCTTGCAAATAAATTACCAATAATTGCCAGATAGATTAACATTAGCGGTATTCCAACAATTGCGTAAATAATACAAGTGATTCTACCCCAAAATGTTGCTGGTGCAATATGTCCATAACCTATAATATAGGAGAGGGAAAGTAAATATAAGGAAAACATCAAGTTAAAATAAGATGTACCATGAATGTGAATTTTAAATTTAACGGCATTATTTACAGACAAGTGGACGGGGTAGCGATGGGCTCTCCATTGGGTCCCATTCTGGCTGATTTCTTTCTAAGTAAGCTAGAAAATGGACCTCTGAACAACCTTATCAGTAAGTTCTCATTTTATTGCCGATATATAAATGACACCTTTAACTCTTTGTGATAATGGTTCTGATAAGAGCACAATAATTCCTGAATTCAATGAAGTACATTTGGCTATGAAATTCACATGCGAAGAGGAATCCCAAGACAGAATTGCCTTCATGTATGTCCTACTTACCAGAAAACCAGATGGTAGTATAAAAAGAAATTTGCATAGAAAAAGCACTTGGACAGGACAATATACACATTTTCACAGCTTCATTCCTATCAAGTATAAAAGAAATTTAATGAAGACCCTCAGCCACAGAGTTAGAGCTATATGCTCAGAAGAAGTAATTGAAGATGAATTAAGCATTGTATATGATACCTTGATCGAAAGTGGCTGTCCTGAAAAATTTATCAAGAAACATATGACAAAGAAAGCGGCGGAAAAGGACCACTCACTATCTGTAAAAAAGAAGCCTCTTTATATACGACTAAAATTCATGGGCGATATACCAAGCCAGATAGTTGCGAAGAAATTAAGAAAATCAGTTCAAAGAACTTTTAATGCTGGCAGCGAACTACACGTATTATTCTCTACACGACCGATGGTGATTCCTCGACTGAAAGATGAAGTACCTAGAACTAGCCACTTTTAATTGTATCTATCAATTCAACTGAGCTTGTAGAGCCAGTTATACTGGCCGTTGCTCTAGGTGTGGTGAGAGCAAGCTGCTAGCCGATTGGTTGACACTAATCTACGTTAATGTCTAGGTCACTAATATGGGCCGTGAGAAAATATGAACAAGGCTGTTTCAACAACCAATCACAGCAAACTTAAATGTGGACAAATATGATTCGCAGATAGATGGCTCTACTTTCCGAGAAATATCGAAAACAACCAATCATAAGACTGTGTTTGTCTGCTTAACTTCCGAGAAACAACCAATCAGAAGACTGCCTTTTTCTGCTTGCATAAGCCTTATTAATGTACATAAAATATATATAAATACGTGTTGATTTTCGTAATAAAACGATCTGTTGCCAGCCCTTGTCTTCTGTTGTTACATAGGAACTTGATTTTTCGTGCTCACTCGAGAACATCTTTCAGCATGGCTAAGTAAAGGTGTAGTGAAAACTATTAACAGCTCGATATTGGAACATCTGATGCAAACAGGACACAAAGCCAGCGTAGATGAATCCTTCTCTATATTATACCGGGTGACGAATAAATTACCAAAAACATCGAAGCACTGCAGGCTCCAAACAGCAGAGGCTATTGCGATTCGCCTCAAACAGCCAGCACTTTGTGTCCAAAAGAAGTAAGTCCAGCCCCTACTATTGCCCTGGCCTTCAGTAGAAGCTATAAACTCATGAATTTGTACTATTATCTTTCCTAATGTTTCTGACATTCAGCTTACTCTATGTTGATGCGTTTCAGCTGTAATCTATCAATATTATTGATTTGATGTTATTTAAACATTAATGTGATTTATAACACTAACTCATTCATTCACTATAATGTATGTATAAATGTAGAGCCTGATGATGAATTTATCGAAAAGAGTACTCTTTGTTCAGTATCCATTCTTTTAAAATAATGACACTTTTTTTCCATGATTTGAAATGTTTTACGAGTTTGACCACGGATTGATATCAGTTAGAGAACCATTGGAAAGACAGCCAGTGAGTCGTGGTACAACGGTTAGGACTCTCGCTGATCATGGACATGGTCCGGGGTTCGATCCCGAACCGACGCCTGCGAAATTTGGGTTACCGATATCACATGCTGAAAATTCCATACTAGTACCAGTAATATAATGTGGAATCAAGCTATAAACAACAGCAACAGTATGGAGTACTGGACAGCCATTTCGTCCTTGTTTGAGAGTCATCAGCGGTACGCAGCCACCGCTAGGTTTCGAACCCAGAACCTTCCAGTTTCAAAGGAAGCTCGTAGACCATTCAGCCACCCGGACCCTAATCACTGGACATCCCATGAATTCTAACTTCTACCGATTCGTGATAATCTTAGCGCGACCACCAACCAGTGTCACCGGTGGGACATCCATCCTCACACTTGACTGGATGGACCTCTCTGGTAACGACTTCTCACTAGAACTGACTCCAGGAAACTCCGTCCCGTAGCAAATCACTAGCGAGCATCAGGCTAATTTTCTATAGTTGGTTTGTTAGGATTTAATTTGAAATATAAAAATGAAAATATAAGGATGAACTAAGCTGTCCATATTGACTATTTATTGTTGACAAACTCTACTCACTCCCGACCCCCACCTTTCTTGGTTCAACGTCCCGCACTTCATAAAAGCAGATCTGTCTGTCTGTTTTCGACATAGAAATTTGCACCGATGTGCAGTAGTTCAAGTCGCCACACTTCACCCCATGTAGCACACAAACCAACAGAAGAAAGTAGAAGAAATGCATAATAGAGACAGTAGACAGGGAAATGAGACAAAAGGAATAGTAATAACAAAGAACAATATAGTTTCATTGGAAATCATAAGTCACAAGGAGTGGATGCATCTGTAGCACCCAGCCATTGAGAACGATTTTGAGCTATATCACCGATTGTCTCCAGCCATTAGTTTTTACCATCTGGAGGACCCGAACCAGCCAGTCAGGAAGTCTACACCTTCCTACGTGGCTGGCTGGCTTAAACGAACTGTTGTGTATTTCCTTGACTGGTGAGGGCATGTTTTGGTTTGATCGCCGCTAGCTCTTTTCCAGCCTGACCCTATGTCAGCCAGCTAACATTGTTTGTTGTCGAGGGAAGTGATGACTAGGCATGCATGCGCAACACATGTCCTAACCATCTCAGTCGATGTAATTTTACAGCTTTGTCGATTGATTTCCCCTCCCACTTACCTAGCACTCAATCGAGGCCTTACCTCAATATTGTTCACCTTATTATACCACTTCACACGGGAGATAGAACGCAGGCACCTATGATCAGAGACAGTTAATCTTTTCATGTCTTCCACTCTCAATGGCCATGTCTCAATCACAGATATAAAGGAGGACGTAGCGGACTCCTGAAAAGTTTCCCCGGCCTTTGGTCGACAGCCAGCCAGCCAGCTGGATATCACGTCTACTTATCCAGAGACGGTGTAAACTGGCATATGCGAAACTAGCCCTCTGTATTCGAGCTGAGATTTCGTCAGAGATCAATTCCTTAGCTCTGGCTGACGTAATTTACCAAGTAAGTGAAGTGGTCAACAAGTTCACTCCCTATCTCTAATCTAGAAGTCAGCGTGGTCCAGTCCAGTCCTGTAGCATCTTCTTACATTTGGCGGGAGTGAATCGCATGCCAAACATTCGTAGATTGCAGCTCAAGGTGTTCAGAAGACTCTGCCCGATTCTGTCAGCGTCCTCCTCTAGAAGAGAAGACTTTATCGTTTGCATATTCTAATTCAGCGAGACTGTTATTCCCTGGTAGGAAGTCAATCCCTCAGTCGCTGAAGTGAGTTAGGGTTAAGTTCATTAGTACATCTATGATACAATTAAATAGAAATGGGGATAATGGGCATCCCTGATGGACACCATTAGTCGTCACCACTTCAGATGACAACTCTGATAAAAGCAGATATAAATGAACAGGAAAGGATTCAAATGGGGTTTACTGTTAACAGAAATGCATTAGATGAAGAATAACTAAATGAAGGATAATGAGATTTAAATGAAAGTATCTTGAACTTCCCCATAGAGTTATATAAAAGAAAAGGAGTTCAGTGAAAAGTTACTCCTCTTTTCAGCGATATCATACTCAGCATTGTACAATTACACATATATATATATATATATATATATATATATATATATATATATATATATATATATATATATATATATATAGTCATTTCCTTTAGCAACGAAAGGAATTATAAATTTCCAAACAGTAGGTAGGTGTTACGAATTTCTTGAAATATTTTTAGCTCCGAAGAATCAGATTGATTCATTATAAATTCTGCTGAAGAAGCTGTGGCTTACATATCGAAACGTTGAGAAAAAAGATCTTGTTTTTGATTTTTTTTCTTCTTAAACAAGGTGGGATTATTTTTTTTTATAATTTATAACAAAAGGAATAGTTCTGAAGATGTGTCATTAGAATTTCAAATTTTAGATGACAAATTAAGTAATATAGGAAGCGCTTTAATCGAGTAGAAACTAAAATGAAAGTGAACAAGTAAATTGAGTGAGGTAATATAATTATTACTGGCGCGGAATTCTGCTCCTGTACATCTCAAGCAAAATACTAAGCCACATCATCCTGGAGAGAATCAAACACGCCAACCTGGATGAAAAATTTCGACTGGAACAGGCTGGATTCAGGAGAAACAAGTCATGTATTGATCAAATCACCACACTACAGGTAATCATTGAACAAAGCTTGGAATGACAGTCACCTCTCTATCTCAACTTCATCGACTTTGAAAAGACCTTCAGCAGACAGTATCGATCGACAGGTGATATGGAAACTACTTCGCTACTACGGGGTGCACACCTGATATCTATGGTCGGCCTGCAAAATTTGAACTACCGATAGCCATGCTGAAAATCCCATACTTGTACCAAAAATACAGTGTGGAATCAAGCTGTAATCAAAAATAAAAATAAATAAATTATGCGACTCATCTAAACAGATGTACGACAATCCCGCATGCCAAGTATTCCACAAAAGAGAAACTCATGCAATCCTTCTAAGAAGTGAAGACGGGGGTAAAACAAGGTTAGCTGGCTGGCTGCCTACTATCTCCAGTGATTAATTTCCTGATTGCAGTAGACTGGATAATGCGAAAGACAGACAGACA